AAATCAACACACTGTACATAAGAATTTTACATTAAAGTGTATCTTTGTATGTTACAGTTTCTTTAAGAAACGCTATTCAATCTTACTGGAGTTTTTGCCGCAAATTCTGTTCCTTTGCGCGCTGTTCTTGTACATGGTCTTCATGATGTTCTACAAATGGCTCGCCTACAGTTGCACTCATGACGGTAAGCCCTATTAGTCCTATATTCATATAATTATAGCCATTTCTTTAGGTACTTAACTAAATATAAACAATTTTGATACATCTTTTTACAGAAACATATATTTTACAAATCAATATGTATAAAATAGGCATGAAATCTCATAATATGAAGCTCTAAGTATTTGTATTTTGTATTTGAAAGTAAATAAAAATCATTTTATAAATGTATACTTCATTAAATAGACATCTCATGATTGTTTACGTTTAGATAAGTACCTAAACAAATGGACTATAAATCTAAATCCACGAAATGGACTAACACCGAGTTAAGTAGTAAGCGAAAGAGCGTTCCTGGCTTGTTTCACAATTGATGCAACTCATCAAACTCACCAAGCAATGTACTTCCGCTTGTACTAGCAAACTAGTACGTAACCGATAATCTGACCTAAACGCCAGCATTGTAGGTGGCGTTGTTGTTAGAAATAAGTCTATGCTTAGCAGTTCTTAGACGCCACTTGACTACCTCATCGTGGTTGTTAATTCTGCGAGCTAATGTCGATGACGAAATATTATTGAAAATTTAATAGGATGTTATAACGGTATATGCAATCCCTTACGATAGTTGATTTACGTCGTATGTATGTGTATACTTTTTTTTTTTTTTTTTTTTTGACGGGGGGGTAATTTTTATGGATACCCCTGAGCCCAGGGAGACTCAGGGGTTATGTGGGGACTCTCCCTCCAGACTGGAGGGCCTACCCCACTAAAACCCCCCCGGGTTTCCCTCTCGCCGGTTGAGTCGGCGCCGTGGGATCAGTGAACATTCACCACGACGCCGCCCGGCCGCCCTAGCTTACGCCAGGGCTCCCGCGCCAACGGAGGGGCGAGTCGGTTGTCCTCCGACCCGCCCCCCAGACGAGTGAGGCCGTGCAATGCAGGCTCCGGAGTCCCTGTCCAGAGCCCGCTGGTCTCACTAGGGGATCAGGCGAGCAGCGAACTGCCTTCGCCTTCTCCCCGTACGTCTGCGCCGGAGCGGGTGCGCGTCTGCCGCGTCCTCGCGCACCCGCTCCGCGGCCTCCTTTTGCGACATAACCTCTGCGCAAAAGGAGGCCACCGCCTCCCAGGACTCCTCGCTATCGAGCATGGCGGCAACCACGCTCGGCAGCGAGAGGTCCTGCCCTACAGTCCCCGTCAGAGTGCGGCGCTGCTCATCCCACCGGCTACACACCTCTAGGGTGTGCTGCGCGGTGTCATCCGCAGCGCCGCACTCGTGGCACGACGGGGACGGTTCCCTCCTCGCCACCTTGTGCAGGTAGTGACCGAAGCAGCCGTGCCCGGTCAGCACCTGCACAAGGTGGTACGACAGTGGCCCGTGGGACCGGTTTACCCACTCTACGAGGACAGGGCGGATCGCCTCTATGGTACGAGCGCCATAGGGGGGATCCGCCAAGCCCTATATGTATGTGTATACTAGCACACAGAGATTTGTAATAAACGCCTTTCGGTCAAGCGTCATTGAGGTTATGTCCGGTATACCTCAGGGCTCTATTTTAGGCCCATTGTTATTTAATATATTTATTAATGACATTGTCAATTTATTCATTCAAAAACTAAATTCATTACAAAGACAATCCGAAACGTAGGCGTCGTCAGGTAGACTCAAATATAAACCAGCAACAGGCTTCGTCACCTAAAAATCAATAATGCAATTAACTATAAGAAAGAAAAAGGTCCGCTCTGAATCTTAGCTGTTTTAAACGTCCCCGTAACATTAGCATAATTAATTAATTAATGACATTAATAAATTTAACATAACATTAATAAATTTGACATTAATAAGTTTTTAACCGACTTTTAAAAAGGAAGAGGTTCTCGAATCGTCATTTTTTGTGTGTATGTTACGCTATTACTTCGGCATTTGTGAACCGATTTTGATGATTCTTTTTTTTGTTGGAAAGAACTAACACTGAGGTCCCGACCTCAGTATTGGTCCCATTTAAGAATGAAGAAAATAATCCACCTCTAAGCGTGGCAAACTAGGGGATGAATCTGGTGAATAAAACCTGGCAAAGAGATGTAATTCCACGACCTTTTGAGGTCGTTTTTTTGTATAAAAAAGCGATATCAGTATACCAAATGTCTGTTCTATGCATATGATCTAAAGCGGACCCATAATGACATTAAATGATTGTAAACTGTACTGTATTTTCTTTGTCAGCATTGTACTTTTTTTAATCAATGGCAATAGGGCTTTATTTAAACAATTCATATTTTTATAGTAATCTGTGGATGATCTGGTTGATGGTACAATTAGCTGAACGGCTATTCTTACTAAAATAAAACAAAATTAGAACGTGACCAACCCATTGCCACTTCGAGTTCTTTTTAACAATATCAAGTGACCAGACAAGTGGTGCGCCTGATGGTGAACCACAGGCCTGTACAAAACAGTTGCAGTGCCAATCAGAGCTTTAAATCCCAAAGATCTTAGGGGCACTGCCACTGCGACCGTCACCCTGAGACGTTGACAAGTGCCTGTAATTTCACCAGCACCCTTACCCTTCAAAACCGGAACAGTAATGCTGACATTGGCGGCGGAAATAAGTAAATAAGTAAGGTGGCAGTACTACCCTGGACGAACTCTATCACAAGGAGCTCTACTGCTACTAAATTAGTTAATTCTGTGAGCTATTTATACCGGTGAGGGTTCTTTTGTGGATTTTGTCATTGAATTTAAAGCTTGTACCTAATTGCTCTTTGCAGTGCCCCTGGAAAACTCGCAAAGTTGTGCCCCGTCAATTCTAATCTTGTTCATCAACATGATGCTGTTCTCAAAAACGAAATCTCACGAAGGCTGCAAAGAGTTCATGTTCGAGGGTCAAGGTTCAATGCAACTTGTTTTCGTGCTCGTAGCCTTTTGTTGCATCCCTGTCATGTTACTTGGCAAGCCCCTGTATATTTTGTCTCAGAACAAGAAGAAAAAATCTAAGGTATGAATTCATTGAATAGTTCTTTCTTCATCACCATATCAGCCGGAAGACTTCCACTGCTGAACATAGGCTTCCCCATAGGAAAATTTCCTTGGGTCGCTCCTCAAGTCCCGGAATCCGTAAGCTGTAAAGTAAGATGAGAAAAATACGCAGAGAAAATCAGAAACAAGGGGCCTACCACAACCTCTTAAAACAATATTAATTTAACCTTACATTGATTTCGTACCACGGCGCGCTTAAAGGTATTATAATGTTAAAAGTATGATGTTTTATTGGCAACTTTGTAACTATTCGACATGACGTGAGTTTAACATTATAATAATATTGTTCTTTTGTCAAATTTAGCAATCTTAAAATAGTTAGTCGGACGCAGTGGAAATAATATTATTTTCGAATTTATTGTCTAAGTATTTATTTGTAATGATTAAAAGTTATGTTGAACTTATTTATTTACATAAATATCTTCAATATTTTGTTTATTTTTTTATTTATATGCTCCTTGGCGACACTAACAGTTGACACTAGACTATAATTCCGAATTTACAACGTAACTATCAAGACTCAGCTTGTTTCATTTATTTTTCTCCATGAAAATGCGGAAAAATAATTGAAAACAGCGTAATTTTAATGGATTTTATTATTACATAGGTACTTTTATTTTTTTAACAGTTAAAATTCTCTGAATGTAAATAACATTAAGCACTTAATCATTATACTACGAGAAGACGATTCGGAACATCACAAAAGAAAGAGATGGCATTATATAGTTCATATAGCTTTATTTCTTTCCTATTTTTAATAAGGAATATACAATATTGGGAAATCATTCGTTCTTTCAATCACTTTAGCAATAATTCATTACTTGGTTGACAGGTTTGTCATGGTACGGATATGAGAATATTATAATAAGCTTACTTTAAGCTTACATTGAAATAAGATTGTTTTTGGAAAGGTTATGGTAGGACCCCAGGTCCGATGTCGACAAGCGCCCGATGACGACTGAGGGGGGCTATCCGCTAGGACGGCGTGTCGTTAAACCTCTAGGTGATTTGCAACTTTTGCGATGAATGTGAATTTAACGATAGCGCTTCAGTTGAAAACTAAAATTTATCAGGTTCTCTGTAGTACTTAAAGAGAATCTCCATTTAAAAATTATTTACAAAGTTAGATATTTTATTCTCGAATATCGATCGAGTAAAGTACATCCTATCGTGTAACAAATCAGTACAATCTTTAGACAAAATCCTAAGGTGTGTCGTATATCTTTTGTGAGACAGTAATTTGACAGTAAGCACCTCAATTATTTGATCTAGTAAACAGTTTTTCCCGCTGCTCCTCCCGTGACTCGCCTTAAATTAGAACCGAATCTCCTAGTAAGAGGCATGTTATTTGATTATCTAAGTTACGTGTATACTAAATGTTGTGTTTTCAGCTAGAACAAGTATCAGGCAGCTTCGTGAACCGTGATATAGAAATGCTGGCTCAAACAGACGGCAGTGAGAATGCGACACAGGCACCCGCCAATACGGAGCCTTTTAGTGACGTCATGATTATCCAGGCCATTCACACTATTGAATACGTGCTCAGTACCATCTCGCATACTGCTTCATATCTTCGATTATGGGCGTTGTCGCTTGCCCACGCAGGTAATCTCTAATATACATTTTTTTCTGGTTCCATTGTCTATGATCGCCCTTTTTTACTTAAGAGTCTATATTGCCTCAAATGGCTTTGGTTGATTCCGCATAACAGTGGAAATGTTGAAACAATCACTTTGGAAAAAATATATACTAAAATTGAGGACATACACTGATTACTATATGGGTTGAAAACACAATTCCTAAAAATTTTTACGATAGAAAAAAAAAATTACCTCAAAATTTTATAAGAAAACCGCCGTATTCAATAGGTACGTTACATATACCAACGATTTTTATATCAACTGAACTAAATAAATAGAACACGTATACGATATACATTTTCGATTGGCTTTAATTTCGTTAGTAAAAAACTAAATTCTGAAATAAAGCCCTGCCGCTCGACCCAAGCAAAATGAACCGTATTAGTACGGGGAAAATTTGTATTCAAGCTGAGATAGTATAGACTCTTAAACTTCTTTATCCAGTAGTCGCTACTTTTAAACAGAAAAGAATTAAGGAAACGAAAAAGAAAAAAAAAGGGTTAAGAAATGTTATAAAATAAAAAAAATAAAATAAAAAGAAAGTATATTTCTATACAATGCAATGAACTTAATATTATCAACAGTTCCAAATTTCAATGATTTTTACGTCATTTTGATATACTCATAGTCAATACCGCAGTAATCACTGAACTCGAATAGCAATTCTCGCACTCAAAACGTTTCGAACCGAATTTGTACGATAATCGTATGAACTTGAAAAAATGTCATACGAGATCTTGTTTAGACAAGTCGAAAACTCGTAAGCAAGAATCTCCTTACTACATATTTTTCTGTGTAAACAATCGAGGAGGCGATTAAGTTGCTTGCGAATCTCGTATGACATAATCGTAGGCGAGATTTTAGTTCTTGCCTCAATGTAAACATTATGATACGATAATCTTATGGCAATTATTGCTTACGATAATCGCGTACGATTTTTCGTCACGAAGCATGCGATAAACTCTGTCCAAATGGGCCTTTAATCTTAAGTATTTGTAATTAAGTTTGTTGAGAATTCTTGTGGTATGATTCTTCACGAATACTATGACATTATGTACTGAGGTGATGATGAAAGATGAACAACATAGTAGGTGATTTGACAAAATTTATCTTCAATAAAATATTACAAAAATCTGAATGAGGCGGGTCGATCATTGGGACGCCCGTCCCCCGCGGCGGCGCCTCGCCCTTCAGAGGCCTGTTGGCTGGCGATGCTGGATTCTCTCATTGCGAATATGCAGATTGTTTATAAGGTTTTTAATGTCAATCATTCATTTGATCACTTTTTCTTTCCTAGAATTGTCTGAGGTACTGTGGAACATGGTGCTGACGTTAGGTTTAAAGGACCACGGGTACATTGGCGCCATCAAACTGTATGTGGCGTTCGCATTCTGGGCTTTCTTCACGCTCGCTATCCTCGTCATGATGGAAGGCTTGTCAGCCTTCTTGCATACCCTGCGTTTACACTGGTACGTCCTTCTTTCTATATTACTCTCACTTCAGGCGTCGAGAAGTGAGCGTGCCTTATAGCTCCGCCACCAAAGAGTCAATGGCTTAGCAACCGTCAATTGCACAATGCACAAAGGAAAGTGAGCGTGCCTACAGCTCCGGTACCTATCTGGAAAATAGGGAGGGTACTGTGCGTGCACCCGGGGAGGCTCACCCGACGCACTTGAAAGGGTTGTAACCCTAACTAGCCGTGAACAGGTTCACGGCAATGAAATGGGAAACTTCCGGTCTACAAAATTTATTAAAGAAGTAAAGTTTAAAGAAAGGAGTAAGACTGTAACAATAAAAAGGTATATACAGAAAAACAGGTACAACAATATGAAACACTCCCTAACTTAATGAATAAGTACACTTACTCCAAAAGGGCCGAGAAACTGAATTACAGAAATAGATACATGAAGGCTGTAGACTTATAAAATGTTAAACATGATTAGCTTATTAACGCTCCGACTCTTGTCGCGGTCGAGCTGGGAGAGACCGTGGTACGAAAACAAAATGAGAATGAGAAAGAGAAGGAAGATGGAACAATTCAAATTTAAGTACATGTAAAATGATAGGATACAAGCGGAGAGAGACGATACAAAGAGGTGAGATGACGGTGAAAGGAGGTCACACCGTCACACACTAGCCTCTTGAGAACCGGATGAAGTCCGAACAAACGGTCTGATCTGAGGTCAGGACCTGACTGGGATCGTGCGGGCTTGCTTGCACATGCCCTTCTCGTATACCCTAAGGGTTGGGAGGAAGGGGCACTATAATCAAAACATATATAGTAGGTACGGAGGCTCGTACGTCCTGCTCTTACAGCTGACTTTAAAATCCTAAGTAATATAAATGTGCAAGTAATTGTTTGTTACGTTTTACACGACTAAACCACTGAACCAAATTTGATGAATTTTGGTATGGATATAATGGGACTTAGGAGAAGGTCATAGGCAACTTTTTGTTACAATATAAATCTTAAAATGAGTGAATTAGGGGATGAAAATTTGTATGAAGAACCATTTCGCGAGTAAGTAGTGTATAAGTATGTGATCGTATATATTGCACATCGGGAAAACTCGGAACCCACGAATATATCCGAACGCTGTTGTCGCGTTCATGTGTTATCATATTTTTCCTTAGAGGGTGAAAAAAATACTGTTTTTCAAACTTTATTAACGTTGTCAATGATTTGACGTTAGATATCGACTAATAAAGTTTCATATTAAATTTGTTTACAGGGTTATACCTGTATCATTGTATTAAATTGTTATAAATACATCAGTTATTAATACAATAAGTTATAGACGCGGGAACAGTATTCGGAAATATTTGTAGCTTCCAGATTTTCCCGATGTGCAATATTTACAGTCTGGTACTGTAGTAGGCTATTCAAAGCGCTTATTTTGTGCAGACAAAGTCGCGAGCACCAGCTAGTTGCCTATAAAGAATATGCTCGCTGCTGTGTTCGCGTAATAGGTACATTGACTTGATATCAAATAATAACAATATGCCAGCCAATCACACTAATTACTAGGGGATTCCCTGTAGGTACTATAAGTACCAGAGCAACGGAATTGCACTACCCAGAACACCCAGACTAGGTGGTCTACCACGAAATACGAAGCGATACTCGTACGAAGATCATGATTTGACATAAGTCCTTACTCCGAAACGTCAAATGACAGCTTTCGTTATCGAATTTTGACATTGCTTTCATCGTAAACCTGACATAATTATGTATGTAATGTAGTACGTATGAGCTTCGTTGCGGACGCAGTCACATAATGTCGTATTTCGTGGTACACTTCCAGAACCAATTTACAAAAGTCCAAGTTGGCCCCCCGTGTTCGTCAATACAAAATCAACGTGTATTTGAAAGTCCATTGAAATTATTCATCATGAAGACTTCTTTAGTTAAAAATATTTATTTAGATATAACGCGATATTAAGCCATTTTCTACCAGTTTTAGTAACAAAAAAGCTCCTTGTGAAAGAGTTCGTCCAGGGAAGTGCTGCTACCTTGATTATTTACGCCGCCAAGCAGTAAGTATTACTGCTTTCTGGTTTTGAAAGGTAAGAGTTCTAATAGTGAAATTACAGGGACATAGGAAAGTTAAGTCTCAGGTTGACGGGGGCGATGAGTGTCTCTCAGGTCTTTGTGATTTCATATTACTATACTATACTACGTAACAGGTACCTCTTTCCCGTGTAATAACCTACTAAATCTGAATAATGGCGCCAGGCGCTCACTACGAGGAAAAAGAAACCTAAGCATGCGCTCAGAGAGGTGAAAATAACGTTGCCCGCAGTGTGCACTTGTGGGGAACCGAATGATCACAAATTAAAGACTTGTATGAACGCTTGTGCTGAAGGTAGGCACTTATAGCGTAACCTTGAGCGAGTGCTGGGAGCCCTAACTTGGTATCATAAAAAAAAGTTTAAATAACTTAAATAAATAATCGAATCGTATTCTGTGTTAACTTGCTCGACTTTGAAATAACCACACCAACGTATGAGCCAGCCTAACCTCACATAATAGGATCGCTATAGTTATAAGTACTGTGCTTGGGAATGTCATATCGTTTTTTTACTCCTCAGGGTGGAATTCATGAGCAAATTTTACATGGGCCTGGGCTACATCTTCCAGCCGTTCTGCTTCAAAACGATCCTCGAGCAAGAGGAGACAAACAACTAATAAATCATGTACCAAATCGTCAATTACATGTTAACAGTATTTTAAATTTTCTAATGCAAAGGGCACAAAAATATATATATGTTTATATAATGTAGTTTTATTTGCATGTTATAGGAAATAAGTATAGAATAAAAATAGAAAGAAACAACCACTGTGCAATAAACTAAAAAATCAAGCACCACAATCGTCGAAGCAATGTTAAATGCGCCATTACGTTTTTGGCTGTATACCCAGATCAATAAAAAAAAATCTAAATATGTACGTATTAAGTCGACGTCAAACCGGAATAGAGATGTTATCCCTTAAATAGCCCCTGGTCATGGCCTACAAAAAAGCCCACGGAACTATAGTAATATTCCCAACGGTTTTTTATTTCCCATTGCGATAATCGCGATTTTCATTTTGACACCTTTGGACACTTTTTAAATAAACATGCTTTTTAAACTCAAAGTTATTTTAACAATATCAAGATTTCAAAGATACAAAAATATCCCGTGACCAGTTTTAATGAAGCTATCTAAAAGAGATTACCAGATTATTCCTCAATTTAGGCAAACATTATCAAACGCTAAGATGGCACCCTTTTTGTAGGTCACGACCCCCTTAATATAACAGTTCCGGCTTAACGTCGAATTCAAACATCCTGTGTATATATACTAACAATTAAATGACAATCCAAACTTAGTTACGATTTTAACTAAGGTATATTTAGTTCTTAATATATTATATGAGCGTTTCCAACCAAACTAGCGTTATCGTAGTCCACTTTCAATCATTTTAATAATAAGATAAAAAACCGTGACTCAATCAGGTTAACATTAAAAAAACCGACCTCAAAAGTTCGTGGAATTACATCTGTTACTGCCAAGTTTTATTCAAATCGGTTACCAGAAAGTGCACGAAACCGGATTCATCCCCTAGTTTGCCACCCTTAAAGGTGCAATATTTTCTTCAAATTTAAATGGGATCAATACCGTACCCTCTTTCCAACAAAACACTATTATAACAACAAATGACTATTCAAGTCAAAGTCTGTTCATAATCGCGTATCATACATACAAACAAATCACAGGCGAATTGTGAACCTCCTACATTTTTAAAGTCTGTTAAAAATTAATGTGATTGTCCTCTGTCATTGTCACTTTATACCGACGGTAGCATTTTTTAATCTCGAGAACCCCAGTCATGACTAAAATCTAAGATGAAAAAATTAGGCGCTTCTAGTAAAAATCGCTCCTTCCTGGAAAAATATCGGAGATCCAATTTCTTTAATTGGTAATCTAATATATACCATATACACATTATTATATAATATATAATAATGTGGCTAAAGAAGCCTTCATTCTCGCTTGTTCTTTGTAAGATAGTTCCTGGTAACGATCTTGGTATTTGAATTTGACCAATAAGGGGCCAACGAAAACGGGATGCTATGACTACGAGGTCGCACCGGCCCTAAAGCAACTCCGTCGGCATTGAAAAGATAGAAGAAGTATATACAACTACCAATGATACAAGTGCAGTTCAACAGGATTCTTAGCTAAAGAGGCACTTCATTTTATTTTACTTTTACAAAACGATAAAGAATTTCTTTTTCATGACATATACCGAGCCTATCATAGACTGTAGTGATGTTTTAGCTCCAAGTAACAGACAACACTACACATGACAATTGTTTGCGACTAGCAAAAATCTTAGGGTGAAAGATTGGAGCATAATCGCATAGCATAATCTTAGGTGAAGAACTTATATAGCCCAACGTATTTAACAATTCATCATCATCAACAACCTATCTAGTCCACTGCTGAACATAGGCCTCTCCCAATGCGTGCCATTTCGCCCGGTCCTCAGCTCGTTCCATCCATCTGCTGCCAGCAGCCCGTCACTGCATCTGGCCAGAGGGCGTCCTACACTACGTTTGCTGAGCCGTGGTCTCCACTCAAGAACTCGCTTGCCCCATCGGTTGTCGGTTCTTGGACAGATATGGCCAGCCCACTGCCACTTCAGCTTGCTTATTCTACTAGCTATGTCGACGACCTTAGTTATCTGTCGAATAACCTCGTTCCGTACCTAGTCCTTCAAAGAAACTTCGAGCACAGCTCGTTCCATAGCTCGACTGGTGAACAAACCGTATCGTGAATGTCCATGTCTCCGCGCTGTATCTTATAACAGGTAGAACGCACTGATTCAAAACCTTTGTTTTCAAAGTTTTTGCAGTATGGGTGGCGAGAAGACTCGACGTACCAAACACTGCCCAGCCAAGCTGGATCCTCCTCTTGAATTCCCTCTCGAAGTTGTTTTTACCCAATCACAAAATCTGCCCGAGGTAAATTTATTCGGAAACAACTTCAAGAAGGTCATTTACTACGATTGGCCTCGGGACAATATGATCATTGATCATGACTTTCTAGGCTATTGGTTCCCAAAGTCCCTGGTGTAAAATGGTGTAAATTTATAAATTATTTTGGGGACTTAAAAATAATTTATAAATTCACACCATTTGCACCCGGATTTTCCGATTACTGAGAAATATATAAAAGCGCAGGCCATACCGCGAACGAAGCTAAGCTAACTCAGCTTAGCTCACGTAGCCAGGGCATCTATTCATGGAGGCGGTGGCCTCCTTTTGCACAGAGGTTATGTCGCAAACGTACGGGGAGAAGGCGAACTCAGTTCGCTGCTCGCCTGATCCCCTAGTGAGACCAGCGGGCTCTGGACAGGGACTCCGGAGCCTGCACTGCACGGCCTCACTCGTCTGAGGGGCGGGTCGGAGGACAACCGACTCGCCCCTCCGTTGGCGCGGGAGCCCTGGCGTAAGCTAGGGCGGCCGGGCGGCGTCGTGGTGAATGTTCACTGATCCCACGGCGCCGACTCAACCGGCGAGAGGGAAACCCGGGGGGGTTTTAGTGGGGTAGGCCTTCCAGTGTGGAGGGAGAGTCCCCACATAACCCCTGAGTCTCCCTGGGCTCAGGGGTATCCATAAAAATTTCCCCCCGTCAAAAAAAAAAAAACAAAGGCCATCTATTCATGCTTCGGTTCACGCCCGCGCCGCGAACTAAGCTAACTGAATTAACCCAGCAATCCCACTAAGCTATGTAAAATATGTCCCCCTACTGCCGCCTTTCACCTCAGCACGTATACATATAGTGTAGCACGTCACTACTTACTACGCATTTTCTTGCCTTAGCTTTGCAAGCAACTACGTGACCTTTTTTTTAACCCGGAGAAATGCGTTAGGGATACCACCGCGCCCGGGGAGGCGTTGGGTTATGTGGGACTCTTCCAGAATGGAAGCCTAGCCACTAAAAGTCCGGGGTGTTCCATCCAGCCGCTTAGTGGGGGTGGTACCGGTTGCCCATTAACCACGACCCACGAAGCGGACGTTCGCGGAATTTGTTCGACGCGCGAACCCTCTCAAATGGCCTTTGCCTGGTGCACCTGGGGGCGGCTTCCCTGGAACACTTGGAAGTCGCCCTACCCTCTTGGGACTGGATGTTACGGGCGATGAGTAATCCCCGACTCGTCACCCGAGTCCCAATACGGCGGAAAACGGCGCATTTCCGCGCGGCGCCTCCGCCCTGCCCTTTTCCGCCGGCGGGGATCAGCGACGTCGTCCTCCTCAACGTCAACGTCATCCTCTCCGATCCGTTCCGCCGTCTCCTTCCGTGTTATTATAACCTCACAGAAGGAGATCACCGCCTCCCACGACCTCTCGCTTCCGACCATAGACTTGACTACGGCCGGTAACGAGTGTCACACCACGGCGACCATTGCCGCCCGGTCCTCTGCCCACTCTGGGCATTCCGCCAACGTGTGCTGCGCCGTATCTTCGGCGCAGCCACACTGATGGCAGACAGGGTCGGCTCTCTCCCAGCGACCTTGTACAGGTATCTCCCGAATAAGCGATAGGTGAGCGGCCCCTTCCGCCCCTCCACCCATTCCTTAAGAATTGGCCGCACTGCCTCTACCATACGGACGCAAGCAGTCGGCTCCTCCAGCCGATTAATCTGCTAAACAACAATACATTTAGTCTCTACACTTTTTTTAGTATATAATATCATTGGTGTCTATAATTTTTTTTTTCATCAATTTAGGTACTTAATTTAGTTAAGTCACTACTTAACTGCAGTCGTTCCTTTAATACAACACTATTTTTATTTTATCAATATTTTTTTTATTAATTAGCTCATAAAAATTCGACTATAGTATGAACGAATTGACGATTTTGGTGTACAAAATATTCTTAGATCCATGTTGATCCATGAAGTGTGATCCATCAAATGAAATCGAAATAATTCTAAAATATCCAGCACGTATTAGATTCAGATCGTTAAACGGTTATTGGACTGTTAAGTCCCAGGGGTAGATACGTCTACATATTATAGTCCGAGGGACTCAGCTCGGACTGGTAGGAGTGCGAGTGGAGTTAAATTATTTTCTATTGATAAAAACATTACCGTTCTAGGTCGTAGTTGGTTCAGCAGGTGTCCATTGTCGTCCAGCGAAGCAATGCTGCCAGTATAAAGGGAAGGTTTGAGCCGGCACTATTCGGGGCGGGATTTTATTAAGGTTAGGAATTGTTGATAAAATCTCTTATACATCCCAGTTTTTTGTATTTTAGTACCTATTGACGAAACGCAGTGCTGATCTTAAGATCGTAAATTTGACTATTTCACATGAAATTACAATAAAAAAAAACAAAAAAAAATCAAAATAATCTTTATTTTATGGGTTACACTTGAAATCGTCACAATGGTTAAACTCTACCGCTCATTCGTAAGGCAGATTCCCCTGAGAAGAATGAGCAAGAAACTAGGGGTTGCTCTTTGTAAATAACATTTGTACATATTCAACATTTATAATTTATTTATTTTTTTGTTTTCGAACATCAGAGATCGAGACTACCTCCATGCCAAACGAGTTACTACCACGGATTTTTGTCATCCAAGTACGTAGAAGTTGTATAATAAATGACCTTTAGTACAAAGTGTTTGCTAAAAAAAGTTGAACTAGAACTTCTCTAAATCTCCAGTAACGAACACCAAAAATCCACTAATTAACTAACTAATCGACACTCACCGGTAATGAACACCCAATATTTGATACTTACCAATGAAAAACGTCTATGACAGTAAGCTTGAACGGTTGCAAAATCTATGTATAAGGTTCATCTTGGGCCTTCGTAAATATGATCGAATCTCACACTATCCCAATCAGCTCAAGTGGCTTCTCATTCGTCTCCGCAGGAATTTGGATATCGTCTCTCTTCATTACAACATTCTACATAATCCTTTGTCTCCCAGGTATCTGAAAGAGCGTTTCAGCTTTCTCAGGTCCCAGGAGCCTTGTCGCTCTCTCGTTACGTCCCAATTATCTTTTCCATCAATCAATTCCGGTTATTATTCTCACTCCTTTACTGTTCATGCGGTCAGACTTTGGAACGCACTTCCCATTACTGTACATGCCAGTAAATCCTTAGCTATCTTTAAAATGGGAATCAAGGAGCACTATTTATCCTCTGTTCCATCCATTTTATAGATATTATAATATGAAATATGTATTTATCTAAGTATTTATATAGTCTGTAGTAATTTAATATTTTTGCTGTTCTTTTTATTATTATTTTATTACATAATTTAATTTTGTTTTGTTGTGCACATAAACTCGTTATCGTAATTATTGTGTTCTGTATTTTGGTCTGCAGGAAGAAATTTCTTATAGAAATAAGCAGTACCTTTTGTTTGTGCTTTCCGTTTTACCAAATGTGATTTGTGTTTTCCTGTACAATAAATAATTAAATAAATAAATAAATAAATAATTTTGTCCTAAAAATTAATATAAAAAGTCGTCTATGTCGAACAGTGGTGCTTGTCACTGGCGTCACCACTTTAACAAAATATACTAAAATATCAGTGTTGAAAGGTGTCGCGGGTAAGGACTAATTCAACCTAAATTTAATTTAATAACTAACGCTTTTTTTTCCAATTTTTTTTTTGTTTCGGTTCTAAAATAGTGTAAGTTTTTTATTAAACTACTGTTTCGGGTTCTTTAAGCGCAGGCCACGCCGTGAACGACGCTAGCTAACTTAAGCTCTCGTAGTTACATGCAAGGCTAAGCTAAGAAAATACGTAGTAAGTGGTGAGCATACATGCGGGGGTGAAGGGCGGCAGAAGGGCGACAAATTTTACATAGCTAGCGGGATCGTTGGGTTACTTTAGTTAGCCATGTAAAATTTGTCGCCCTTCTAACCGCCGCTAACTAGCGGTGTGAACCGAAGTATGAAAAGATGCCTAAGAGGCGACGTGAGTAAGCTAAGTTGGCTAGCTTCGCGGTGTGGCCTGCGCATTATATGTCCTATGGTCCTTGACCTTTTGCGATTGCGGAAACCTAAAAATTCGGCAAGAAGCATCTTTTATTTGTATTGAGGTACTAAACAAAACTTGAAAAAATGTTAGCATATTTAATCTAGTTTTTATTAAATTGTGTATACTCGGCGTATAAATAAAACAACATAAAATAAATATGCATAAATATATTTCTCTTATTTTTGTGACCTTTGCATTTCAACTTATGCTGAAAACGAGAAATACTGTTAACACCTAATCTACAATTGCAAGACGATTTAGTCGTCCTTGTTCTCCTCTTGCTCGAGGATCGTTTTGAAGCAGAACGGCTGGAAGATGTAGCCCAGACCCGCGTAGAATTTAGTCATGAACTCCACCCTGAGAAGAAAACACAATTAAATAAAATTTTCTATTAATTTTTATTAAATATCATTATGATATTCATATTAATTTTATTTCTTTTGTGAAATTACTGCATTAGTTAGTTATAATTCATAGATCTATAGTATAGTATAGTACATAGATCAAATAATACAATACGTAGATCGAATTCAAATTCCGTCGGCCCGATAAGACATGAACATGCTTATTAAATTGAATAATGGCACATTTACACGGGACCAGTTGACGAACCATTCTTTAAAGCAAGCCAGTGAAAAGTGCGAAATTGGCAACGTCCATCTCCACTACAACCAGTATTACATTAAGTTTCTTTACAATAACGTCAAGGCAAACTAGCGGAGTGGTTCAAGATGCACGTTCACACAAGGGCCATTACATGAACCAATTCAATGCACGTGTGGTGGGGGCAGGTTTTGGCCCGATACATTAAAACGTTCTAATTTAATGGATTGTCTTTATCACTGGTCTGGAGCCACTCTATAATGGATTACCTCTATTTACACGACGCCAATAATGGCATGGCTTAAAGGAATGGCTGGTGGGTTGACCCCGTGTAAACCGTCCTTAAATAACCCTTTATTTACATATATGCTCCAGACTATTGCAAACAGTGATATGGTTGTTTGTTTGTATATAGGTAACCTTAATGATGATGACACCTAATGCAGACACTCATAGTGCCGCACTAAGAAATAAGATCTCAGTATCGCGGGTGCCATGGACACAAATAGACAACAACAAATTAAACCCAAACTCACGAGAAAAATAAATGTAGGCCATACAAATATTTCTCCCGGCCCGCGAATCGAACCCAGGACCTCTGCGTGGTGGTTCAGCAAGGTAACCGTTCGGCCACGGTGGCAGTTAATTAAGGTTAGTAGTGCAAGCTATTCTACTAGGTGATGATAAATAAACTAAGTACAATTGTTTAGGTACTTGTATCTTAGGTATCCAATAAGGTGTCTGTGACAAAATAGGGCCATAATCCATTCACTAGTCCAGTCACATACTTTGTATTATCGATCTTTGTATTAATAATTATAACAAAGTTTCCTATTGGTTTAGCATAAATGTATAATGTTACTGTCATCTTATACAACAATGTATTTGTTTCAAAATTTAATTTTAATTATTATATTTAAACGAGTAGAAGCCAATTACATCGCACGTTTTAACTAAACTTTTTTTTATAATAAAAGACTGATGTATAATTTAAACTCACAAGTTTAAATTGATTTTAAATTTCATATCAAGTCGATGCGCCTGTCACGCGAGTAATTTTATAAAACTCAACTGTAAGTAAGAATATAAACTTACCAGTGCAAACGCAGGGTATGCAAGAAGGCTGACAAGCCTTCCATCATGACGAGGATAGCGAGCGTGAACAACGCCCAGAATGCGAACGCCACGTAAAGCTTGATGGAGCCAATGTAGCCGTGGTCCTTTAGACCGAACGTCAGCACCATGTTCCACAGCACCTCAGACAATTCTGTGATTAAACGGTTCAAATGTACATGTACTTAACATTCTGTATAGACACATCCCAGACTGGCTAAAACCATCACTGGTAATCATTATTTGAATTTAAAGACTTATACCGCAAGATTTCTCAACTACCTTAATTTCAATTTTTTTTTTTAACGCACACACTCAACATAGCCCCGCATTAGGGTAACCCTGTGTCGCGGGTGCCATGGACACACACATAGACAATCACAAATTACATCCAAACTCACGGGAGAAATAAATGTAGGCTTTACAGATATTTCTCCCGGCCCGGGAATCGAACCTCTGCGTGGCAGTCATGGTAACCGTTCGGCCAAGATTCGGTTTGGATTTTTTTTATGATACGAAGTGACGAGACGAACAACGAACCTGGTGGTGAGCAATGCGCCTGTCCATAACAGTTACGGTGCCACTCAGATTTTTAAATAAAAAAAAAAAGAGAGTCCCATGTGCCTGTAATTTCACCAGCACCACTACCCCTTCCAAATCGGAACGCAGTAATGCTGACATTACTGTTTGGCGGCAGAAATAGGTAAGCAGTACTTCTCTGGACTAGCAGGCAGCTTTCTAATGAGATGGAATCAGTGTTGGGCGTTAATCAATTAAATTTCAATCAATAATTCAATCAGATTAAAAAATCAATTCAATTGAAATCAATTGCAATTAAATCAATTGCGACGCGTCGCAATTGATTTAATTGCGATTGATTTTAATTGCAATTGATTTTAATTGCAATTGATTTCAATTGAATTGATTTTACTTGCAATGAAATTTGCAATTAAAATCAATTCCGGTCGGTTGGGGGCCCCGGTTGGGAACCCCGCTTGGGGGCCCCGGTTGGGGGCCCGGTTGGAAGCCCCGGTTGGGGGGCCCGGTTGGGGCCCCGGTTGGTGCCCCGGTTGGGGACCCGGTTGGGGGGCCCGGTTGGGGACCCGGTTGGGGGCAGGTTGGGAGCCGCGTTGGGGGCTCGGTTGGGGGCGCCCGGTTGGGGGCACGGTTGGGGGGCCCCGGTTTGGGGGCCCCGGTTTGGGGGACCCGGTTTGGGGGGCCCGGTTTGGGGGCCCGGTTTGGGGGCCCGGTTAGGGGGCCCCGGTTTAGGGACCCGGTTTGGGGGCCCGTTTGGGGGCCGCGGTTGGGTGGCTCGGTTGGGGACCTGGTTCGGAGCCATCAGGCCCCTTAACTGGCCCCTAACCGGGCCCTCAACCATAGCCCCAACCGGGTCCCCCAACCGGAGCCCCAACCGGGCCCCCCAACCGGGGCCCCAAACCGGGGCCCCCAGACCGGACCCCCAAACCGGGACCCCCAAACCGGGGC